GTATTGATATCCATAACCTAATGGATTTAAGGTATTGCTGGGATATGTATAACTAGGATATGTTATTCCATTTGTAGTGTAAGAAGGAAGAACTGATGGATAGTCTTGTGTTGACATTCCCTGAAACGAGGAACATCAGTACTTGGCCAGTCGAATGTTTGGTTAAGCAATGAAGAAATATCGAAAAAAAAAAAGAAAGAAGAAAAAGAGTCAATTTTCACGCAAATTCAAACTTATATTGCCAAATAAAGTAATTGGCGCACAAGTTGGCATAAAATTAATCTCATTAGAGCACCACGAGATTCCTATTCAAGTCTTAACAGCTAGAGAAGAGGAGGATGCAACATCGAATCAGACAATTCAATGAAATGAGATGAAAGAAGAAATTAAAAAAGTACTGATTTCATTTGTTTTAATAAGATCTACTATGACTCAAGTGGTTGGCAGGATAACAATGATCGAATGAAGAGAAAAGAGAAACAAGATGGAAGCGGTGTTGGCGAGGCGGACCCGGCCCGTTGCCTACTCTTCTGGTCCCTCCCTCAGCCCAACCAACGGCAGGCCCCTCCTCCTACCGTAATCCGCGCTGCATCAATGTGGCTGGTTATGGCCTTGCAAGACTTGCACATACGAGGAATGTTATAGAGAATGCTTCGAAAACTTGGAAAAATGATGTATATTGTTTAAAAAAACAATATAGAATCAATTAAAATTGAAAGGGCAAGAAGAAGGAAAACAGATATGTGGAAGATTTGCCAGGGTGGTCTCTCTCTCTTTCTTTTTCTTTCTTTTTTGAAAGAAAGATGAAGGCGTCGATGAAATGCGCTCCAGGAAGGCTAACGATGCAAATATTTGACCAAACAAACACGGGAGGCATGAACACAAATATCGCTCGTTTACTTTTCCGAATTATGCACTCTTCTTCCTAATTAGGCAATCTTCGTGCAAAAGTCAGACGGAAGAGCTGTTCTTCTTGTGTGATGCCTTTCGTTCGGCTTGTGGTTGGAATGCATAGTTGACGAGATGATGCTGATGATGACATTCCCAAAAACAGAAAAAGAGAGAGAGAGAGGGAATGTAGAGGGAGAGTCAGATAGAGAGAAGGGCATACAGAGAGAGAGAAAGAGAGATAGAGGAAATATTAATAAATAAACGTATGAAACATCCAATAAATCCGAAAGGAAGAAGCAATTTCTAGGAGATATTCTGTGCAAATAGAAAAAATGAAAAAATAAATAATATTATTGTGTGGACTGTGGCAGTTGTTGGAGAAGGATTCAGATGAACGACGACCTTTTTCCAGATAAGGTATGTGCTCACAAAACATAATCAGAATTCTTTTTATCTTCTCTTGATAGTGCCAACTTATTTTCTTTTCAAGTTTTATGAACTCTTTATGCGGCATGATCAAACTAGAGTTGTTTATAACCTTCAAAAAAGAAATGGAACAAGTGTGAACATCTTCAAAACTTTCAGTTGTGGAGTCGGAAAGCTTGGATAAGATGCTTGTAAAGCCTAGGTCAAAAAGGTCTGATTTGGAGTGGGTGATAGGAGAGTTGAGTGGGTCGGAACAAGCATAGAAGACGATAAAAGTAACCGTATATGGTCGGAATCCAATAGATTTGACCAAGATGAACAAGAATACAAATAGAGAGAGAGGGAGAGGGAGAAGTTAGAAGAGAACAAGATACGAAGAGAGGATGACAATAAAGATGGACAATGGCATAGAAAGAAAGCTGATATTCGATGAAGATTGGAGGAACAACCTGACTGCTTTTCACTTGGCTGTTTCCACTCTATGGCTGAGTAAGAAAAACAGATGATTAGTCACGAAAATAAAAAAAAACTGTAATATTATGGTAAACAAGGGCTTTTATTGCTTTTGAATTGGACTAAGATGAATTTTGGGGAAAAATGGATAATCTTTAATAACAGGAGGGCATATGATGGCATAGACGCTGTTATGAAGGGTTCAAAATGAAAGAGAGAGGGAAGAGTGAAGAGTATCTTTGACTCAAAAAATTGGTTGAAAAATGGACAAAAAGCGAAATATCGATTGATTACAAGTGATAGTAAAGGACGAAAACCTTAGTATGAAAACATATTTTTCCTCTGGATGCTACGAGAAGGCTTTCTCTCGCTTTCCTTTTGTTCATTCTGATTTGTATGTGTTATCATTCATAATAAGTTCAAAGAGAGAGAGAGAGAGAGGGAGAGAGCGTATGAGGTTGGGGAGTTTTGATGAAAACAATTGAGAAATGGATAGTTGAATCTTGATGCAATTTCAGCTTCAATTCATATTTGGGGTTAAGCTTTCCACGTCCTCATATGGTCAATCAACTCGTTCATACTTGGCTTTTCATTCTATCGTTTCTCTCATTTTCTTCTTCTTTGATATCATGAATGGCTCTAGCTGCCGTTGGTGCTGACGATATTCAACCAAATAAAAAGAAATGGATATGAGAAGACGAAATCGATTCAGCTTCTGCTCTTGTTCCAGCTGGAGGGATGCACAGGAAAGCAGTTCTGTTTCCCAGATTTCCAGCTTCACATGAGAATCTGTGGTTTCGATTGTTTCATAGTACGGAAGGCATAACTGCGCAAGAATAACTACTTCAGAAGGAGATGGAGAAGAAGAGTAAGAGAACGGTCTGGATAGTTGACTGAAAGTGATTTGCCAAAAAAGCAAGTAAGAGGTAATAAATGACGGGGTTGATACCAAAAATGGTTGGTGGCGTTTCGACCCATAAATGGCGTTCTGTGCTTAATGCCGTTAGAATGCATCTCTCGCTAATCTTATCAAATGTGACATAGGGGGGGGGGAATCAGATGAGAATATGTTTTTATCATTCATTAGAGAGTAAAAGAAACTTTAAAAAGAAACGAGAGAGAGAGAGAAGAAATGAAGAAGAGTGAGAGAGAGAGAGAGAGGTAGAGAGATTACTTCAACTATTCCCCCCCCTTTATTTTGATATCAATAATACGAAATGATAAAAAAAATCATCTGTTTATATACAAAACAAGAAAGGAAATCTGTTAGGAAGAAGTACGATGAGGTAGATGGGAGGTTTTGAAAGGAAATGTTACGAACCTGAACGATGGAATTTTGGTACAGTGACGAGGTTGCATCGCCGACTGACGTTGTCGGAGTAAGGCTACTGTTCTGATTCATTTTCCAATTCAAGCAACCTGTAAATGACCCAAATTATTGTAAAAACCAAAAAAGGAAATGAAAAGAGAAGAAAAAAATCGAGATTTCATGAATGAGAAAAAATGTTGTTTATTTAAAGGAACGTGCTGAAAATTATGATCTCGTTCACGTATGGAAAGAGTTGAGGAGATGATGGGACTGTCTGGCTGACAGTTTTGAAAGCCTGAACAGTTCCCTTTCTCAGCCTCATATACACATATATACACATTTAATAATATAAAGGAAAAGATGAAAAAAAAGCTATGAAGATGGCAGAGACAACAATCATTTTTTTTCTTTTAGTGATGAGAATGACTGGAGACGTTCAGATGGAGAAAATTGTCCTCTGGCTGGTCTGTACTTCTCTCTGTTTATCGCTCTCTTTTCCTATTTTCCTTCTTTTTTTTTGCCCATTTTCTTTGCCTCTCTACACTATTTTCATTCATTTTCAACTTGTTTTTTGCTCTGAATTCTCTTCTGATTTTCTCGCTCTCTTTCCAAATCGTCGAGCTGAGCTTCATCTTTGACGACGACGATGATGATGATGGTGGTGGTGACGAGTCGACGAACAGAAAGAGCAACGGGCGTGTCGAAGCTCTTAGAACCGGCTGCTGACGTTGAAATGATAAGAATATGTAGGATAATAAGATGAAACGGAAATAACATAAAGTTAATTATGATCTGTCAAAAATATTCAATCGAATTTGGTAGCTAAGCTCAGCTGGACTATACACTCCCCCCGTTATGGTAGACTGAGCACTAGCAGCGTTCGATATCCTCGTGAACGACTAAAGTGTGAGGAAAGTGCAATCATCTTATCACGATTATAAAAGGAAATTTTTTGGGATGTGACTTCGTAAAAACGGGAAAAATTTCTCTCCAAAAATCTTTGAAGGGAAACGAGTAGCAGAAAGAAAGAAGGCTTGAGCGCACAGACCGACACTCCGGAAAAACCGGAAGAGCCGAAGAGCATTGCTTGTCTCTGTGCCTTCTTTTCTCCGTTATTCTCGTACTTTCAACTGAATGATCTGACGTGACTGTTGGGTTAAAAGGAAAGCAAGGAGAAGAGAAGAGTAGGGTGGGGGAAAGCTGGTGGAGGAGCGAAGAAAAAAAAGAAGAGGTGGGTATTGGTTGCAGTTGATTCTAAGATATAGACGATTCAAGAGGCTTCAGTACCTTCTTCAAAATCAATTGAAGGATCTTAAAATTGAAATTGTTGGGAATGACAGATACGTGAGTGGAAAGCAAGGATTCATATAGTTCCAACTCAACTACAACAACCACAACTAAGCTGATGATGACACCAGGAGGCAACGACGAGCATCGGCTTCAGCTTCCTTCTCGTATCAAGTTTCATGTAGGGTTCTATAGCCCTAACTTACTATGGCAGAATGTATGAAAGCTTTCCAGACGTAAAGAAGCAAAAAAAAGGAAGCCGAGAAGGTAGGGTATTATGGGAAAAAAAAGTAAATGAAGGAAGCTCATATTCCTAATAAGAGCAAATGTAATCAGTAGCTAATCAGCTGACACTCCACACAGGTGTAACATTCCGAATTATTTGCAAGCTTGTGGTCATCATCTTCAGACATGTTTAGATATCAAATATTTAACTGAGACTTTTCTACAATGTAAATACGAGGGAAATACACGTGTGAATGCCGCCGGACACAAATAGATTGATAACAACAAATGGCATGAGCATCTTCCTTTTTTGAATGTGTTCAAAGGCTACTTATCTATGCCAAATTAGACAGCTTCAAGATTTGGGGTGCAGAGATAGAAAAGAGCGATGTCTGGAGAGAACGGACAAGAAGGGGTACGAGCCACAAAAAAATACATTAACCGCTGATTTGACATTCTTGCTTTTACGCCTATAAGTGCTCAAACCCGGTTTTTATGGATGCAAGGCATTTCTGGTTGCTTTAGAAATACTTCTGGTCCATCCAAACACGGCATTCAACAATCATAGGAGAGAAGGAGCATTCCATGATAGCTGACAGATTTCAGGCATACTTTCTGATGTTTTTTTTTCGAAAAATCCTAATGAATACGTAAAAAATGAAGGAAAAGGAACAAAATTATAATCAATTTGAGCTAAATGGTTAATAAGAGAGGTGGATGTCGACACCGCTTGCTGTGCACAGCAAACAGTACGAGAAGCCGTGATGAGGAGGGAAAGATAGAAGAGGAAGAACATTACTAGACAGACAGGTAGAAGAGAATGAGAGAAAGAAAAGAGAGAAAATGATATCAGCATCATCTAGAGATCGTACAATAATAAGAGAGAGAGATGGAGAGTCAGAGAAGAATACAAAAATGTGACTCGATCATAGCATAGGATCATCAGAGACGATAGGATTGTAAAGAGGAGGCATCGTAACAAAAAATGAAACAATGAAAATTGGGAAGCTCAAAATAAATTTATAGAAAAAGTGTGTTGGCAACATCAGCTTTTCCATCAGCAAGATGGATAGCGAAAGGAAATGATGGAGATAGTGACTCAAAACTGCCCAGGTGGATCACAGGGTGGGAGAGAGACAGACATCTATACTTCTGAGCATGCAATGAAACTCTTGCAAGATTTGAATAAAAAAAGTTAGGAAGAAAAACTTTTGAATGCGCTGATGGAGTGTTTTGGTGATTAGCAGAGACGAGATGAGAGAGAGAAGAAGCATTTCGAAGAGTTGGGAAAGCTTGTAAGAGAGGAAAGAGACTGCACAGCGGCACAGTACGAAGAGGATGACGAGATCGAAGAGGACGACGGGCACTATGTCAATAATTTGGTGAGGCTCTGCTCCACTTCTACGACAGCCACATAGAGAATGAAAATGGAAGATGCAAGAAGAACATAGATGTGTAGAGAGAGTTTTGCCATGAAATAGAGGTAGAAAGAAAGAGAGATAGAGGAAGAGAGAGGGAGAAAAAAAGAAAAGGGTGAGCCAGCCTGGGCGGGTCTCAAATGCCTCAAAGGCGTGGCGAAGCCAGACGATTGGCTGCGCAAAAAGTTGGAGCTCCTATGGCAAAATGTACAATCGGGTAATTTGTGAAAAAAAATATGAACAAGTATGTAAGGAATATTTCTGGAAGGTGCAATTCGCAAAGGTTGAATGGAGGCGTGAAAGAGGAGAGAAGCATTGAATTTTACGGTTTTCATAAAAGTTTTTTTTTTCGGCAAAGATCTGGAAAAAAAGACATATGAAGGCATGAGCTAAGTTTATTTGCTCAGTTTCTTAACGGAGTAGTAGAAGACGAAAAAGTACGAAGAGCATCAGACATAAGTATGGAATGAAGGTAAACAAAGAAAATCTAAGAATAGGGAAGACTTGGATACCTCGGAAGACCTCTTCTATCATTTTGATAACATGTATATGAATAAGTAAGAGGAATTAATTTTGAATCGCAATGTGTGTGTGTGCGTGTGTGTGTGTATTCTATTTTACAAGACGAAAAAAATCTTTGCCTGAGGCAATCATCAGGCTCTGAAGCATTGAGCACTTGGGATTCGATGAAGAAGGATATTTGATATCCCGTACATTATGGAAATAACACAAGCTTTCCTCTTCCATTCTCCATCTCAGCATGTCGTTAGATTCCTTCTCCATTTTTTTAAAGCAATTATAGTGGCTTGTGATAAAATTAGAAAAGATTACTAAATATGGAGGTGTAGAAATCTTAGAGGAGTCATGAATGAGATAGTGCGGAAATGAATGAAAGATATGAAATTTGTTTCCTGAAAAACAGTTCTTATCTGAGAACTCAAAGAAGACAGAGAGATATCTCAAATGACTGATAAAGAAATTATCTAATGAATTCATATAAGGAAGACAAATATTTGTTGCTGAATGCAAAACACGAAAGTAAACAGAACGGTTTGTAAGGTTGCCTGAGGTTACTTGAAACACCCAATAAACACACTTCTTCCTTATTCTGTTTTCAGATTATTATCATGAGCAAGTACTTCCACTTCTGTTTACTCAAAAATTTTTGAACAGAAATTTCACTTTCTCTTTCTGTAACCTATGAAAGTGGAGAAAAGAAAAGCCGTCTGCTCATACAAAGAGCAGTTATTACGAAAATTTCGGATAAATGAAAAGCTTGAAACAATTGATAAAGCATCTCATTCAATCAGGTTTTATCTTCTTATTATACCTATTGTGAAGCTTTTATCATGCCGTTGAGATTATAGAGGTCAACCTCTGACCCTTTAATGCTTACAAGATGTCTTTTGGAACGCAGAACGCTTTTACGACCTGTCCTCGGGTTGTCAAAAAGCAAAGTACCGTATGTGGTAGATTCTATAAATGGAGTAAATGAAGCTGAGGGACCAACCTTCCAACTTTTCTCTCACTCAGGACTTATTGAAAATATATTCAGAATATTCTCAAGTTCGAATGGCTATAAGTTCAAGCATTGACTGAGCTTGATCACTTAAGACGCGTCCCAGACATAAAATGCTGAAGAAGCTTGCACTGAAGCTCAAGAAGTACAATGATCTAGATGTTGCTGAGAAGCGGATAAGAAAAGAGATGATGTGATGTGGGATAGTGATGAGGCTGATGATGATGGTATACGTTGACGACGATCAGCACGAGTTGCACGGACAGCTATTGATTGCAGCCAATTCTGCTCGACGGCTTCGACTCTCGTTGGCTTCATGTTTGCTCAGCCTTCTCCCTTCTTTCGCTCAGTTCGAATCTGTTTCCCTCGTTCTCTCAACGTTTCCCATTTTATCTCTCCTTCTTTTCTTCTCTCTCCACATTATTCATCGTACTCCTCTCTTTATCCTTCTAATTTTCTGAAACTCTCTTTATTGCTTCCCCCTACTTCTACAGTTTTCCCTTCTCGCATCCATCCCTTTTTCTCTTTTCCTCCCCTATTTTCTGTCACCTTACCATCATCGACAATACCAGCAGACTACTTTCTCTATCTTTGGATCACAGGAACGAGGGACAAAATTTTGAAAAAAAGTAATCAATTTTGAGAAAAAAAAAATGAGAGCCTCGCAGCTAAGACTGAAGTTTCATTCAACGTCTACGGTACAGGATAACAAGTGGTCAGTGTTATGAAAGGGAATCGTACAAGTTCTTTGTCAATTTCTATGCCCATCTATTGCACAAAATTAAAGGAAACTCATATTGTCTTAATGACAAAACAAAAATCATAAGGACCATCACTCGGAGGTGTTGAATGCCTTGCAACATCCGGTTGCAATATCTCAAAACAATAGGGCGGAAATGACGAAAGAACAGAAATCTGCTTGATACATTCTTGTCATTTTTTTTCAATCAAGACAAAACTGTTCTCCTCCTTATACAATGGAAATACAAGGGAGAAGGAAGAAGAGCTGATCATTCTGTTATCCTCTCGATATACTCAAACATGAGTTGCAGTTGTTATCAAGAAAGGACAGATGTGGAGGATGCAGGTGAGGAGCTTCAGATGTAGTTATACAGAATGAAAAAAAAGTTGAGCAAATATCTCAATGAAAATGACGTATTGCTCATCATTTGACAGATGATGGTTGTCACTATAGAACGATATGCGTGAACTGTGCCAACAGCAAAATGAACATGAGAGCTATCGAGCATGACCTTACACACAAGTTCGCACTGGTAAATTCCCACACAACAAGTATATCCAATAGCAATTGCAATCATTCGTAATAATAGGTGAAGAAAAAGGTGAGTATAGAGATGCTTGAGATACTAAGTGTCTTATTAATTAGGATTATTTGTTTAAAAAATAAAAGAAAATAATAAATAGATGCTACGAGCACGGGGGGCTGATGATGAAAAAAATTTGAAAAAAGAAAAGAGATTCAGAAACATATTTGATTTCAATCATCCACAACATGGATTTGCTGTGACGTTATTGGCTGTTATGTCTTTCAATTCGTACCGTCATGGATAACTGTGAGCGAAAAAAGGATAGAGCGAGCAGGTTTTTGTCTTTTATGCACATTTTCATACAAAACTACAGATGAAGACATATCTTTAGAAATCCCTTCTTAAGCTAATGCTTATAGAACAAGAATATTCTTATTTAGTTTATAGCATAAGCACACAAAGGAAGTGTTTCAAATGATATGGAAGTTACGTTATCTCAGTTAAGCTGTTTCGCGAAAAGCTGTTTCGCCAAATTCCACGTTGAAATCTCATTTAAAGTATCGGAGTCGTGTGGAACGGTTGCGTAAGCTGGGCTCGCAGGTAAGACTGGGATTTTCATCGAACAATTTCGTTTTTTTCTTTTCCAAAAATGGATGTGTTATTGTCTTCATTTGTTTTTATAAATTATTTGTTTATCTGGTTATGGTGACATTATGACAGTTATTATGAAAGAAGTTTGAAATTAGCCATGAGCATACTCTTACGCATAACACCCTGTATCATTGAATTTGGGTGAGAGGGCAAGAGTCCTAAGAAATTGAAAGTGTCAGAATGCGTGAGCACTAAAAGTAATGAATAAGGGTCATGTTTGTGCTCCTGTGGGTTCAAAAATGAATATAGACATTGGCCATTGTTGGTATTCACACCTTCTTTATTAAGGAAGATAACTTGAATACATTAGAGACAGAGAAAGGTATGAGAGAATACAAAATATGCTTTAGGAAAATTATGAAAATACGTTTTATCCGTTCAAGGGACCCACATAGGAATGCGCACAGACTGTCTTCAGCTCATACAAACGTAAAGATTTCATGAATTTTATGACTTTTTTTTGTTTTCGAAAGTTTTACTAAAAACATCAGTTTAAGTTAGAACTGTTATCATATGGCTTATTGTTGAAAACAATACTAAGGAGTTTTACTCTTGGGTTTGCAGCATCAATGTGAATGATAGAAGTTGAGGGAAAATGATACATTCTAATGAAATTGCATTTGAACTTTGAGAAATTGAAATGATGGGAACATGATTAATCATAGTAAGGCTGTAAAAAGAAACTAGAACAGCTTGAATGACGCAAAAGGTTTGCAAAAAAATGGAATCTTACGATGATGAAGACGATAAATTTGCATCAGTTGTTTTGGTCTGTGCTTATCGCTATTATCATTTCTGTGAAGAAGGTGACGGGTTTTTGTCAAAAACGCAAACAGAAGGAGAGGAACATAAGACGAACGATAGCCTTGTTTGGTTTTTAAACAGAGAAGCGCCGAAAGAGCATGGAAGGAGACACTCAGTTGTCTTATCGCCTGTTACTTCACTGGCCAGAAGCTTGATAAGCAATCAATCAATACAATGCTCTTCTAGAGACAGTGAGTATATGTGTTTAGGAATAACGCCAGAATGGAAAGATGCTGGACAAAGGCTTATAAAATTTTATGAAAAAAAATAGGAAATAAAATAAAAAGAAATAATGATGTGAGGATGCTTTCATTGAAAAGAGGTATAGATTATAGTTTTTTATTTGAATTTACATGAAAACGGTATTGTATTCGTATGACGAAGATATAAAATGCCATTTGATTCTACGCTTTAATGTGATAGAGTTCTTTTCTTGGCCCAGTGATATGGCTCATTGGTTCACCCTCTCTAACACCCCCGTTTTTAAATGGCTTCGTCATACTGCATCAAAACTTGTTTGGAAGCTTTAAAGCTCATTGATAGCTCTCCACATCTTTTCATACGCAGGATGCATATTACGGAAAGGTGCAATAATTGCTTATCATTGTGTTATTCAAATAAATTTTAGAAATGAAGATAAAAGTTCTAAACAGGGACACGATTCAGATAAACTCTATTCTGTTGAGAAGAAGTCAGTGACTGTTTGTTCAAGCCTCGGCCCTGAAATGTGTTAAAATCTGTAAGCCAAGTGTGAGACTAGGTAACTCAGGATGTGTCGCAACAACAGCCAAATTGTTGTTTCAACACAACACATTCACAGCTTGAAGAAAGTTTAATCAGCAAACAATGAGATTCTCCCAAAAACAATAACATCAATGGTCCTTAACTCAATTTCCATATAAAAACACTAATTGACATCAAAGAAGTCTCTTCTATGCCGTAATTGTTTATTTATTTACTCTCTTCATCTCTGAAATTCCGTCCTGAACAGTCATGACTAATGAGATTTTTCATGCCAGGTGAACAAGCATGACCTCATCTTCCTTTGAAGCTTAATCACACAAACTATATTAGGCTCAGTCGTAATCGTGATTCACAGAATATCGAGAAATAATATAATTTTCTCATAAGTTTGAAATTATCAGCCATTCATACACTAGGTCTTACAGTAGCTGAAGCAACTGCGAGATCTTGAGATGATCAATATACTAAGTTTGAACCACAGCCGTTTTCTACACATCACATCAATTCCTTTCAATTGTTTGAAAAACGAAAATACAGATTATAATTCTATGCTAGTGATCATGCAGCTGATAGCATCAATACTTTTCAAGCACGACCCAATCACAATTGAATTAGCAATGGCGCAGTATTTTAAAATGATAATCATACAGAAAGTGGCGTTTTATTTTAATTTCGCATTCCAAGAGAGCGGTTGCATTCTGTATTATCTATTCTGATCTACGGTATATCTACATACGTCTAACTTTGTCCTAATATGAAGCTGAACGAAAATACAGTGATATACGGTCGAGGTTTGACTTTAATCCCTTACTGTAAGGAGCATGTACCCAAATATCACAACTGGATGGAAGATGAGGAGATACAAAAGTTTTTTTTCATCTAATTTCACTTCTAACGTCATTTGATTTGAGAACCACAGCCACTGAACCCCAAACATTAGAAGAGGAGTATGAAAACCAATCCATGTGGTTGAAGGATGAGGACAAACTAATGTTTATCATAGCTGAAGGGAGAGCCGTAGAGAACCCAGAGCAGCAAGTTCTTGACTGTTAGTCTCCTAATATTTAACCCATCATTCAGATTCAATCCATGATCGGTGATGTTAACTTGATATACAATGAAGAAGAGAAAGAAGGTGAAATTAATGTGATGATCGGGGAACCGAGTGCTAGGAGAAAAGGATTAGCTATTGAAGCTATAAAAATCATGTTGACTTATGCTTATGATCGAATGCCTTTGAAAAGGTACAATCATTTTGTGGTGGGACACGTTTTATTTCCCCTTTTTCAGAGTGTTCGCTAAGATAGGAGATGACAATGAGCCAAGTATACGTCTTTTCAAGAACAAGTTGAATTTCCTTGAAGAATCGTATTGTAGTCCCTTCAAGGAGTTCACATTTGCTCTTGAGAACGATGAGCTAGAAAAGTTCATGTCCAGCATAAGCCGTGATACTTACGAAGTACAGAAGAAGCAAGCGGATTAGTATTCGTTTATTCTCATTTCGTTGTAATCAACAATGAATTTTCTAATCCAGCGGAAATTTTTTACAAGCACACTGTGTACCATCAGGTATTTTTATCATGCGGATTGAGTTATCGGCGCCTTCGTCGCAATCACTGAGTGGGATTTCCTGGAAGGAATAGGAGTTACAGAAATAAAAGGAAGAAACAAACCTTTACTCCTGTTTGAACAAGTACGCAAGCTGAACTATTTTCAACTCTGTGAGGGAAGGTATGAGTTCCACTCTGGGAAAGAAAAAAATAGGAACTGTTGTTGATTAAGTATAAACTTCGGAAGTTTTACAGAAGCCTGTGCAGACTGGAAGTTTGATAGTTCCTTTGCATGTTTTACCGTTGCTATCGGTTCGAACTATTTGGCTCGGACCAGGAATTATTTGTTGGCTGAGCAGACATTGTTTGAAAGAAGTGTGCTCACCAAGAACTATCGCCTATTAACAAGTTAGAAAGTGATGGTAGAATGAACTTACTGTGCTTAAAAGGAAGAAAAATATTGTGCGAATCATGACGATCGATAGAAATGAAATGAAAGAAGTGAAGAGTATCGAGTTGAATTTGAAGCAGATGGCAATGGATTGACATGAACATCAGATGTCCCTCGAGTTATGTGCAAGAAATCGTTCTTGAATCCATTTTATTGCTTTTTGACTTGATTTATCTTGAAGTTTCTCATGTAAAACAGCAGCAACTGCTTGAATGAAAGCGTTTATTGATATCAGAATTCATTAATAACCGTTTGAGTCGTGAATAGATTTCTTTTTTTCATAGAAAAAAAATTGGAATTTTGATTATTATACTCAGCAAATAGAATAAATTCTTCTGGAAAAGGTTTTGAGCTCAGAAGATTCATCAGATGAGCTTATATGGAATGTGATTGAGCCTAATAGCTAGTTAGACTGTTTGGCAAACAGGATTTTTTGAGAAATGAAGAAGAGCCTCGTTAACGGTCTTAGGGAGAGCTGTGTCCGGCAGAGCTTCACCATGTCCTATATCGCTATCGATGGCTTTGAGCACGTCTTCTGCAAACGAGTCATAGAAACTATTATCAAGTAAGCATACCGTTTAATTCGGCAAAATATAATACATGTCCAGATTTTTCAGCGTCTTTGTAAATCTGAAAGAAAATGAATTCAAAAAAGGAGTCGGAAGGTTGTCATACTGTTTTTAAAGCTTCTATTCCCATGGTATCGATATAAGCAACTGCAGAGCAATCAACGATCACTGCGGAGCATTCAAGAAGTTTCTGCAACGAAAAAGTTTGAGAGTTTTTTGCTTTTTCGATTAAGTTTCGAACCTCATTCTCCTCATGTTGGAAGACGTTTGTTAACCTTTCGATGAATTTGGTGACATTGGCAAAATGAAGAGGAGCATCAAATTTCAGAATTTTGACTTTGTCCGGTACGTTCTGAGGTGGGATAGAAGAATTGGTGATGACATTGAATCTGGGCCTGAGAGTGTAAAAAATGAGATGATAGAAACAGAAATATTGAAAGACCATTGTTCTCTCAGTACAATAGTAAGAACTGCAAAAGCTATGGAAATTATTAGTCCTTTTGTAACGTCGGTCAACGTGGTGGCGAGACATGAAACCAGCCAAATAGCCTGGAATATAAAATTAGTCACCAGATTGGGTTGGTTCGTAACGTACGAAATCAGCTTTACATACTCTCCAGTATCGCGGAAGTTCAAAGGCTTGAAGGAAAAGACTTTTCAGGGAAACAATAACAATGCAAGCCAAGATACACTAAAGTTTAATTGGTTTTTCTCTGTTTTTCGTTTTTCTCTCACCATTGGAAGTGGCTCGAGGAAAGGTCCCAGGAAGACAATGACCGTCAGTAGAATGGAAGATGAGAAAACTGTGTATAACTGAAATTATAGATTCAGCCTACGTACATGTATATTGTTTCCTACTAAAGTGTTTGCTCCAGACATTTCACAAACTGATGAACGTGATAAAGATGCTCCGACTGGATATACTGGGAAGAATGAAGATCCGATGGACATGACACCAGCAGCGTACAGCTCCTGATAATTCAAGGTTTTTCTTGTTTTTCAAATTGTTTCTCACTTGTGTAGGATCAACTCTGTATTTGTGCTTCTTTGCGAACAGTTTAGCCATGGAAACAATGAACATGTAGCAAACAATGGCTATGGGGATGGCATCTCCGATCAACTTGGGCATAATGCTCACATCAGGAAGAGATGGAGAAGGTAAACTGGAATGCTTTGTTCATTGTATAGCTTCAGAGAGAAGTTTTTGTTTTCTTGAAGATTTAAAGCAAAATATTCGTTTGGTCGATTTTTGATCTGGACCAAAAATGACGTGGAATTTCACGTGAAGGGGCGGCGTCCAATGTCGTCTTCATTTTCATTAAAACGACGATGTGAACTGGTTGATCTTTCGCATTTAGACAAACAAGTGTTTTTAAAGAAATCTGTGATGGTTTTCTCACCCTCGTGGAATGGTATTCACAATCTTAATATCATAGTTCTCTTTTAGTCCGAATATAACAGAAATCACTACTCCTGCGATAACCTGAATGCAAAACAAAATACTTGTTCAGGTATGACTAATTCCTTACCAAAATTAATTCAAGAGGTGGTGGGATGGGACTGAATTTTTTAACAAATGGGTTTACGTATGTGCGTCCTAAGTCCAAGAAAAGAATTCCAGCTATTGATATCATAAGAGCAACATAATTGGTAGCAGTGAGAGATAGGATAAGGTCTCGTACCATCTACAAAAATATCTTTTTTTTTGAAGTCTTTAAGAATAGTATTACCAGCACTAACATTCCAATGCCTTCATGTCGTGGTAATTTCACCCCAAATACTTTGTTCAATTGTGAGACAAGGACGTGAGCAGCGGATCCAGTCGTAAAACCAGACACTAATGAATCTGACAAGTACGTGGTGACAAAACCCAGACGTAGCAGTCCCAAAATGATCTTTAAAAATTTTCAAGTTTTTGTACAAATGAATTTGGTGAATAACCTGTACTGCTCCCACGATAAAGGTCAGAGCAGAAGTCAACTCGAGTGGAGAAACTTCCCTTCCCAATGGATACGTAATAGTTGAATTGTCATTAGGTATTTCGTCAGGCACCAAACGTAATCTACAGGCTCCTACCATGAGCGAAGCCACAGCAAACACACCTTAGATGTTAGAATATGCTAGCCGTTACTATCTTTACTGAAATACCTATAGATATGTGTCTAGAAGTTCCCAATAGCATGTAAATGGAAGAAGCGAAGAAAGATGAATACATTCCGTAAACTGGTGGGACTCCGGCGAGACTCGCGTATGCCATTCCTATAAATCTTTTTATCACCATATCTTAATGGCTTCTTGCCTTGAGGGACATGCATGATTCCTACTGTGAGTCCAGCAACTATATCTCCACTCAAATGTTTCTTCCATTGGTAACTACAGAGAACGATTTTTAAAATTGTCAAAGTAATCTGTACTTACTTGGGTAGCCAGTCCAAAATAGGAATGTACTTTGAAAGACGATTCTTCTTCACATTCTTCGTTGGAGATTTTACACTAACATCTGAATCGGACGGCATGTCCGGAACTAAGTCGTACTTCTATAATATGGAAGGACTCACGAACTGTTCTTATTTAAATAGTTTTGGAACTTTTTTCTATGAACGACATGATGAGATTTAGCCTGTTTGTGGCTCACACATAATCCCTCAGAGCATATAGGATATATCATTATGAGTTAAACACCAGTTATGTGGAGGAATGATTCATGTTTTGGCATGATGATCACTTTCAAAAAAGGTAAAGCCATGTATTAGTCAACGATAGAATTCTAAAGATCATATGTTTTTCAGAAGAGAAAACAGATCCAGTAGACTACTGCTTGCTTTTAGGACGAGAATGGGGGCTATTGGAGAGAAGAAAACGAAAATTTAACGGAAATTCTGGCAGAGTCTGAGATTAATTAAAATAGCGTAGAGAATGTGCTGAAGGAAAAAAAGGAAATGATTGACCTTAGATGGGAAAGAGAAATTATAATGAAAAAGACAACAACGGGATCATCATATTAGGCGAAGACATGTGAAGAAGTGACAAGACCATCGTCATTATCATTCTTCTTTCTTTTTACCAAAATATCTGTGTTGCTAATAGAACGACAGAACAAATCGTAGACATCGGGGAAACACTGAGAATAATCTTTTATAGAAATTGCAGCAGCTTTTTCACAAAATATAAGGAGGCGGAATGAATGTTTCTATGCAATGCGGACGAGACGAAGAAGGCGAATGGGCTGAGTAGTAGAACTCACATGTCCCTTTGGAAATGGAACTACCATCAATCATCGCGAAATTTGTATGATATTTTGAATTTTTTGTGCCTAGAGACAACTGCGTGAAAGCCTTTCCAAAAAGGCCTTTTGACGACGACGTTTCCTGATTGATGAGAAGCTGCTATAGGTATTGTCTAGGATGACGATGCTATTGTCAGAGATCAGTTTTCTTCAAAAGTTATTTGAACATAAACAGTGATTAGGGCATGTCAAATAAACAGATTAAAGCCTTCACGAACTGAGAAAGAGTCTCAAGCCTCCTTTGGTCTTCAACTTCGAGAAAAGCTTTTCCATGTGCCATGTGAGGCTGTTTCAAAATTTTTTCCATTTTCACATTTTATTCGAGGATAATGAGTGGCAGAGGGTTATTACCCAACACCATATCCATATATGGAAATGTTGCGAACGTGGATGGATTGTCTACTTTCTCTCACTTATGAACTGTCAGTTCACAATCAAACATTAGTAGTTTTTCCATTTTCCTCACATTTGACAGACGGATTAGCATTATAGAACGATTGAGTGGTGAGGGTGGAAAAAAACAAACACAAATGGTGAAATCGTGCAACAATTCTTAAAAATTGAGTAAAGGTGGGCGACGAAGAGTTCGTTTCATCGCACATCGAGAATTATCTGATAAGGTAAAGCATATGATTTGTATTCAATCAATACAAACATCGTTTTACCTCAGGTATACGACTTTACTGAAAATTATGGGTTTTCTTTCCAAAATGTTTTTGACTCTTATTTGGCCGCTTCTATCTTTAATGAGATAGCGGAGCACAATGCCTTTGTTTGAAACAAAGACCATTTGGAATATCCAATGAGCTTAGTCATTACTTCTCCACAAGTTCAGAAGTTCATTTCTCATATCGCATCAAGTTCACTGGCAGATCATTGTGCCGTTAGCGATTTCTATTACAGGATCTCACTATCCCCCCCCCCCCCCCCCCCC